TTAAAAAAATACAAAAATAAATTCATTGAATTTGAAATTAAAAGGGAATGTTTACTTGGCTTTCAATTAATACCTGTTTCACTGTCTTGCATGAATGTTAAAAATGCTTGACACTTCTATGAATGGCACTAAACCCCCCCCCCCCCTGTGTTCTTAAAAACAAATACATACAAATATTTCTAAGCGGCACAACTTTGACTAAACGATACAAAACCTGCCAATGTTTTACAGTGAGCACCTTCAAGGAATGTTCACCTGGGTAGAACTCACGTGACTGTAAGTATTTTAAATAATTTATTCCACACTAGGGTTCAACATAGGTCATGCAGGTAAATACCTCTCACTTGCTATAAGAAAAACATTGTACTTTTTGTACATTTTTAATAATTTAAGTACCAGCCTAATCGTGTACAAATTTCCTACTTTCACACAACTTTTATAACTGTATTATGCGTCTTTTGTCATTCGCACAAGTTTGTACAGTTAGGCTCATGGTAAACAAAAGCTTTGAAATGAATGATCGTTCTCGATTTACTATAGAAAATCAAAATGTCGGCTGATCCCTGTCCAATTCTATGGTTTTGTTTTTTGTATATTCGTAAATTTCAGCGGTAAATTTTGTTGAATCGTACGTTTAAGATATCAATTAATGATTTGGGATGAACAATTTTGCTTAATTTGATTGTTTATTTTTTCACATTTTACCGGGGCCCATAAGTGCACTCGTTCTTTATATTAACCGTTTATATACAAAGCGATAATCCTAAAATTATTTTAATCACAGTGCGCGTGTTATCTCTAGTTTCTCTAATTTGAAAGTAAATTGTGTTCTCCATATAAAGATTATGAAGACACATTTTCATTTAAGAAATAAATATCAAGTTTATAAACTTCAATGGGAATTGAAGTGGGTAGGTCACGTGATCAAAGTGAAGGCCTTCTCAGAAGATTTGATCACGTACAGACCCACTTCAATTACCATTGAAGTTTATAAACTTGATATTTATTTCTTATATATACATTTGAGATGAACAATTAAATATATTCGGATATAAATATTGTACTAACCGGTCGCCGTATATTTCCGACAAAAGTACGCAAGGTGTAAATCGGCTTGAAAGGCGGTTACGCTTCAAATTCACTAGACTAGTGAATCTATTTCGAAGGGAATATTTTGTGAAAGGTTACTTGTGATCAGTTACAGTGAACAGATTGTTGTCTGGGAATATTTATATTCGTGAAAATTGATAATCGATGCTTAAAAGACACAAGAAACACGTCCGAGGTTTAATGATAAAAAGTTGGAGGAATTTCGGTCGCCGGAAAGGGATGGATGGATCCGATGGATTGAGACACTTGTCCAAGCCAGTTAATTTGCAAGTATTAAATTTGATCAAAAACATTCTATCTACGATTTCAGTAACTAAGGGCATATTTATCAGTTTAACTTACACGTACTGGTAAACAAGGAGACACTGGCGAAAGCTTACATTGAACTACGACAGCGCCGAGGTGTTTGTCAGCTGTTCGTGGCCTAATTGGAATCCTTTGATGTTTTCCAACAAATTTACACATTTATCATGAAAAAAAGTTTATCATGAAAATTTAACTGAAGGTCTACCCCAAAAATAAGGATGAACGTTCGAGACTGTGCAGCTGACAAAAGTGAACAAAAAATGTAAACAAAGGCTAGGCCTATATATTATATATATATATATATATATATATATATATATATATATATATATATATATATATATATATATATATATATATATATATATATATATAGCTTGTTAAATTTACATTGAAAATAAAATAATTATTATTTTACATCCTTATTTTGTTCACCTTTATACATCACGAGCCAGGACACTTAATCAGCAGCCTACTTCACATTAGTAAGACCAAATCTTGAATACTGTGCTTCGATCTGGAATCCCCATAACAAAAAAAAACAGATAAAGAAAATTGAAGAGGTACAACGAAGAGCAGCCAGATTTACCACCAGGCGTTATCGCAATACCAGCAGCGTAACAGATATGTTAGACACCTTAAATTCAGAATCTCTATCATCCAGAAGATGCAAAATTCAGCTTACCATGCTATATAAGATATTCAACAACATAGTAGATATACAATCAGACAATTACATCTAATTTACAACTACAGCTACTAGATCAGCACATGCCCTGAAGATCGGTATCAGACTAGGACAGACACCATGAAATACAGTTTTTTCCCTAGGACAATTCCAGAATGGAACAGACTACCAGCATCCATTGCTGAGGCTCCTGACTTGGTATCCTTCAAGCAGGGGCTCACCACACTCCATTTCTAAACAGCTATCGTCCAGCTTGTAAGTAGACCCCAGCAAAGATTAGAGCTATGCTGATTGGGATCAGAAGATCCCAGGACCGCTACGGTAGTCAGATTGGTCTAATCGGAGGAGTTGAAAAACAAGCTAGTACACACACTTTTATCTCTTTTATTCTGTTTTTAATCACTAATTTTTACCGCTAGCGCTGCTCACGAAACGTAAAGGTCTAAGAAGACCATGTTTTCTTAACCTATAGATGTAGATAGATGTAGATGAAAAGCAAGTAGTGCAAATCATGATAGGCTATAGGCTAAAAATATGTTTTTTTTCATGAAATTCTACTCATGATAAATGTGTAAATCTGTTGGAAAATATCAAAGTATTGCAATCACGCCACGAACAGCTAAGAAACACCTCGATCGGCGCTGTCGTAGTTGAATGTAAGCTGTCGCCAGTGTCGCCGTGTTAATATCATAAATATGCCTTTAGTTACTAAAATCGTAGATTGAAAGTTTTTGATCAAATTTAACTTGATTGCAAATTAACTGGCTTGGACAATTGTCTCTATCCATCGGATCCATCCATCCCTTTCAGGCGACCGAAATTCCTCCAACTTTTGTGATCAATCTTCGGACGTGTTTCTTGTGTCTTTTCAGCATTAATTATCAATTTTCACAAATAATAATATCCCAAGACAAGAATTTGTTCACTATTATTGATCAGAAGTAGCCTTTAACAAAATATTCCCTTCGAAATAGAATTCTTAGCCTGACGAATTTGAAGCTTAACCGCCTTTCAAGCAAATTTACACCTTGCGTACTATTGACGGAAATCTATGGCGACCGGTTAGTATATTTATATCCGAATATATTTAATTTAATTTTTAATTGTCCATCTCAAATGTATATATAAGTAATAAATGACAAGTTTATAAACTTCAATGGGAATTGAAGTGGGTCGGTACGTGATCAAATCTTCTGAGAAGGCCTTTCTTAATTGTATATTGAAACACTGGGCAGTACAACAGTAAAGTCGAAAGCTAGAATGCTTTATTAGGATATAAAGATACATAAAAAGCACGAATATTAATTTTTTTTTTTACTTTGAGTATTATTTTTTTCATTGTTACGTACAATGTTTTATCATATAAACGAAATCATAAGATATTGTCGTGTATGCATCAGTTAGATAAGATAGTTTTATTCATGTTTTCTCAACAAAGATGAACATAATATAGAGATACCTTTTTAAGACTCTGAATAGAACGACATGTAAACTATTACGAATAGGTATTTGAATATCTGTTAATATAGATAAAGTTCTTTTTTTTTTTACAATAAATAATCTATCTTCATGATCTTTATGAATTAATCCTAATTATCTTTTCACTTCTAAGGAAAGCCAATATTTATATTTTTCGAGTGGGAGATTTTGAAATAACATAACAAGGGGTGAGATACCTCGATCGTGAATCTAAGGTAAAAATTCATAATTTCGCAGGACATTGAATTGTTAGAGTCCTAGGTAAGACAGGGGTACGGATTTTTTTGTCTTTACACTGTGATTCAAAACAAGTACTGTCCGCCCTAAAGTACATTACACAGAATAATCCAGAAAGGGAGCAAATATGAAACACAAATCAAAGAATTCAACTCATTTTATTCAAAACATAGCTGCGGGTCAGCACTGACCAAACAAAGTTGCAGGAGAATGAACATTTTCTTTAAATTGCTAACGGATATTTGTTTACTCGTGTTGACATAATTTAAAATTATTTTCAAGGACAGAAATTCAAATTCCGAGTGTACTTTACTATTTACACCATCTTGGGAAGCACTTCTTTCATTGATTTTTAAATTAAAATTAAATTTTAAAATGTTTTTAAAGTTACGATAAATATTAAAATTCAGTACTGTATTAACTTGTCCCCTAAATTCAGTTTATCCACCTTTTTATCATTAAGAAATTTAAATGTAGGTAAATGGGTTTTCCCTGTCATTACACTATTGCTCTCTTTCTGGAGGTATGAAGTATTTTAAAGATTGAATAAATACAATTTAAGATCATTTTCAGAAAATTATTCCAATTTGGTTAAGATCCGCGACTCTTCTTCAGCGAGTAGAAATAAAGGTCAGGCAAATGGAAAAAAAAAAATTGTCTGCACTTTTGCTACCTTCTGAAATATATACATGATTGTTTTTGCAAAAAAAAAAAAAAAAAAAAAAAAAAAAAACAAAATAAAACAAAAACAAACAAACAAAACAAAGAAAAAAACAGAAACAGAACAAAAATAAACAAACAAACAAAAAACAACAAACCAAAACAATAAACCCAAAAAAAAAACTACCTTAGGTTATTTACCTGCGAAAAAAAAGGATCAGAACAAGTCTCATATTTTTGTTTTATTTGTTAATTGTAGGCTTTACATATTTTTTTTCCTTTGTAGATTAAATTACTTTAAATTTGATATCATTAAGTTAACTCTTTTTTTTCAATTATAGTGCAAGTGAGCGTTGTTTTTGCATCATAATACATTTGTAATCACTATGATAAAGTGCAAAATGCATGGTCATTCAACCTATGTTTCAATGCGAGATCAAGAAATGAAGCATAAATAAAATAATAGTTAAAAACAGGGCAATCGAAAAATTTTACAGAAATAATAAAAGAAAATACTTACCTATTGTTTTGTGTATATAAATATTAAGAATTAAATACACAACAAGCGTCGTTTTGATCCGAGCCATGATACATGTGTTTCTTGATATAGGAAAATAACTCATCTGCGCTTAATAAAGCACACAAATAGATTTGTATACAGTAGTTTTGCTTGCCATTCAAACAAATAAAAGTGAACACGACAAAAGCTAAAGAAGGAGACTGGCAACCAATGCTGAATTCAAAGAGGCGGGACATTTAAGACTTGTCGATTTATTCTCCCATGATTTGAAATTTAAAGAAATATATAATGTAGATTATATCTACTGCATACAATCTACAAGTTATTTAAATTTGTGTGTTTTATTTTGAATTACAATGTGCTGAATTACTTACTTACATTTCAATTTATCAACCTCAATGATTTTGATATGCGAATAAATAAGTGATTAAACACCTGATGTATTAAGGAAAAACTGATGAAGATCTCATACAATATATAAGGATGTTTTTTTTATTTGTTTAACCTCCCTTTCAAGATTTTTTTCACTCGTAAGGAGACGTCATCACTTGCGGCGAAGAACTGCAAATTTATACCTAAACTCAGCACTCAGAGCCATTCCGCATTGAGTGATATCCCGTGTCAATACATGTGACGTAAAATTAAATTCAATGGTCTGCGACTCTTGAAAAAAACTCTAATCACTGTGTCACATGGTTAACTATGTGTGTTATAATGAATATGCAAATGAATATCTTATTTAAGCTTTAGAATATTAACAGTATACAGATATACACATAGTATACACATATCAATAAATATCTAATGATCACCCAATACTTAACATTATTACATTCCCTATTTTGTCACATTGATATAATCTTTCTTAACAGCTCACATTTAAACATACTAATGATAAAATCAAGAAATTTAAAATAAATTTATATACCTTTCTCACGTGTTTTGGTTATATTTCTCAATTTCGATTTGAAGATATAAATGCATTCAATTAGCTTCTACCTTATTCCTAGCTGATATGAAAATGTATTCGAGTCAAAATAACACCCTTAATGACAGTGCATGGTTTGTTCATTTTAGAAAATTAAATACTGTGGATCACTAAATTTTCGCGACACCTTATTTTCGCGAGATAGTCATTGACTCTTTATAAGCGAGGAATAATTTTCACGAATTCTTACTATTTCTGTATATAACCTTAAGGAATACTATTATACGCGAAAATAAAATTTCGCGTGTTCACTGTCTCGCGTAATTACGCGAAAATAGAGTTCTCGCGAATAAAGTGATTTACAGTAACATAGCGAGTTACTTATTTCGTTGGAAAAAATATTTCAATTATTGAAAATCGATGAAATGTTTTTATATCAAAAGATTATATCATTGAAGATTCCGTATTTTGGACTTCATGATTGCATGAATCTCTGATGTAACCGACCTAAAGAGCGGTGCACTAAGGCATCAAATACTGTATTTTCTTTCTTGAAGCAATCAACTTTACTTATTTCATATTTAAAAACCAAATCTGTTCAAAAAAGATTGTTTGACTTCTTCCTTTCCATTATTCATCAGTTTGGTCCCATCTGAAATATTCCTTATTTTTTATCATAAAAACTGTACTTTGACTCCATATGAATGTTCCTGGGAAAAATTATTGCGAAAAAACCCCCAGTTTTACCACAAAGAAGCTTCAGTAGATAAAATTATAGAAAATTTTTAGCTATTCAAATATCTAAAACTAGGACTAGATAATCATTGTTCTTTTTTGCATATTCATTCATTTAAAATTTCTAATAAATAGATTCCATAATATTTAGAATCATTATGAATGCCTTCTAAAATGCATGCAGATAATTATATATATACATCGTACATAGATTATATATTAAACATTTTGAAAAGATGAACATGTTAGATCATGCAGTGATGAAAACTAGAAAGTTATTCATGTATTATATCGCGAGATATAATAGTACTTGGTGCGAACAATTGTAGTTAGCACATAGACTCTATCTACGCAATACAAAAATCAACAACTTTACCTCAGTATAGAAATCAGGTCAATTGTGTCAATTTTAAAGCCAAAGGCTCTCTGGCTACGTGAAATAAAAATCTCAACGCATCGATACCCATTCAGGTTGATAGGCAGATGGCGACCGGGGATATATTCGAAGTCAATTCACTTGATAAAATCATACTTTTTTTCATTCTGCATCTGACAAAAGTTTTTGTGCAATACCAAAACGGTTTAATCTCTGTTAATCATTTAATCACTGAAATCACTGATTGATAACAAAACCATTTAACTCGTGAAATATCGGATCCTTCTCTTCTGAAGATACCGGTAACTGTATTTTAAACATTACTATATATTGGAAAGTCAAATACCGAGGAAAATTCCAGGTGGCACTTCAGTTCATTCTTAGGTGCTAAGTCTTGTATTCAATATATTTAAAAAGTCATTTCTTTGGTATGGAAAATATTGAGAAATTTAATGTTTTACTTTAACTTTCAACATTCCATGTCCTGTTCAAGTCAGATTTATAGACGATTTAAAAGACAGACAGTCGTCCTAATGGAAATTAGAGAGCAGAAGTAGATGTTCAAATGAAATCTAGTATATGTTTAAGTGGCCCCGGTGGTGTAGCTATAAGTACCAAAGAAAGCAGCAGGGATTAGGCCAATACTTTTGAACAAATTTAAACAAAAATTACCTGCATCCTTAACAAGTGTATTGCCAGATAATAAGTTTACCAAGTTTTAAACAAGCCATGAAATAAGCTTTATTGACAATATAGAAAATAGTTAAGATTCAAAATTTTAAACTCATTTCAAAATATATATAAATTTTGCTGTCTATTGCACAAAAAATTTGATTAGATAAATTACTTGAAATGGTTAGATTAATAAATTAAATTTTGGTTAGATTAATAAATTAAATTTTGAAATCACAAAATTTTAACAAACTTAAGTTTTATGCAATCAAAACTTCCTTTAGCCATTTCTCACAATAAACGTAGATCAAGGCTTTTTAACACCATGGAGAGCTGTGAATAATGTTTTGTGAAATCTTTGAGAGAGGAAGGTTCATTGTTGTTTATGGAATAAATTGAATAAATTAATCACGTGCATATTTGAGCAAACTATTTAAAGTCAAAGAAACTATCACTTATAAAAGATGATAAAAAAGTGAGAAATATGAAAATTAATTTCTGTAAACAGTGGCTTTTATGTCTTCTGTATTCATTACTAAGGCAATAAGAAGCAACGATACATGATAAAAAAAATAATAACCGTGACAAGCATTATTTACATGTAAACGCAAAGTATCAATTCCAATAAGGAAAGATAACGAAAACTGGTCGATCTAAAATAAATAAAATTTAACAAAACATTTAATGTGAATGGTAGACACATGTAACACCTGCATGTACAATTTAGTCATGTAAAAGTGGAAAATTAATGTTAGATGCTTCATTAATAAGTAAAGTTGACGGTGGAAAAGATGTAATTTTCTCGTTTACCATACAGCTTAGCTGTACATGTATGTTGATCATAACCATCTTAAGTCACTTTAACATCCCGATATGAAATATATGTAAGAGAGTAACTGGGATACAAGTGAATAAAAATAATTTGAAGAAATGACTTTTTAAAATGCCGTTGTCAACATACAGAGCTTCAGTTGGTAATTTCTCCTTCTAATGAAGAGGTATTTGAAAAAGAATTCTGCTTCATAATTGTGTTAATAGGTTGCCTAATAAAGAAAATATTAACTACCCTACATAATTTAACAGATCATGCCCTAAGTCCTAGTCCAAAGTTGTCAATTAGGAACCCAAGCATCTCTTTAAAATCAATTTAAGAGAAATTAAAAGTTACGGTTAGTAGAGTTATAGAATCAGATTTTAAAATGACAACTCACAAGTTTAAAAATTTTAGTAGTTTGCAAACCTTAATTTGGCATCACAGCAATTTTTCTAGGTTCATGTATGTTTTGGGGAGAATGAACTTTTTCAAATACTTTTACTTTTTAAATCGCTTTTAAAGAGTAAAATCATCTAGAATGGTCAGTCACTGCAACCAAAGTAAACCTGAATATGTGCATCCTGAAATGCTTCATCGATGCAAATGTAATAACTATAGAATTTATAGTTTCTTTTAATCATCTCAACAGATAAAATAAGTTAAAATTTTGATGATTTGAAATAAAAATTGGTTTAAAATAGTTTATAAACGAAATTTTGATGAAAAATACATTTTTTTCGTATGTTAATTGAACAGTCTGTATATTGCATCAACCATTGCCAACGTTTTAGTATTTCGATTGCTTTCTAATTCTGCATAGAACCGTTCTGCATACTAAATTTCATTACAATTCGTACTGTCGATTAGCATTACCACTATTCCTATGCCTTGAGGAATGTATATCAAAACTCACAAGTTCGTTTCACATTCATTCAACTCAGCAACAGTAATATTACACCAATTATTATAATCACGTTTCGAATACAACAATTGTCAAAATTCACTGTAAAGTCTACGGATAATGGACATAAATGGCCACATTGTCCCCAAATCTTATAGGAGGTCTGGGGTTACGGCCGAAATACCAACACGCAAATGTGAATAACGGGCATGACGGAGGCCTTGTGTTGAGCACAAGTGCCAGAGAAATCCCAATGCTTGACAACTAGCATGTGGACGGGAATGGCCTGGGACATATTTGTTTACCCTGTTTCAAAAAGATTGCTCCCTGGTTCGATAGTGCTTACTGACACTGAGTACTCCAGACTGTGAGCCTTCCCTTCTTTTAAAAGAGGTGAAGGGGGCACCAAGTATGGCTTAAACTTGTAGAACCCCAATCATAAACTACAGAAGAGGTAATACTTTCCCCACTAAACAACAACTGCCCTCTGTCTTAGTTGACAGATTGGGGAAACAGGCCAGAAATGTCCCGAAAAGACCGCGACGTTGATGTTTGGGCAGCAGCGCCATCCATTGTTCTTTGATTCCTGGGCCTTGGTCGTCCCCTGGCTGGTGACACTTGCTGGGTTTCAATCTGTCTTCTTGAGAGTGTCCGTCTTTTTGTTCTCACTGGAGGCATCGTGTTGATGATAGTTGATTTTTAAACTATACTTTGAGGTGACAATATGACTATCTCGGCGGGAAAATGTGAAGAGGAAGTTGAGGAAGTTGTTAAGTTGTACCACAATTCACTTCCTGTGGATGCGCTTGAACAAGTTGTACCTAAGTGATTCCTCCTTTCCATATGACTTACATGTAACTTCCGTCAAATAAGAGTGATTATTTGTATATTTCATAAAATAATTTATATTAAATATCTTTCAAGGCAAAAACCAACATGAATATCGATAGTTTTCGAAAATATTAAAAAGGGGTAATATATACTAGTAAACGATTTTTCAATTGATAATGTGATAGTATTTTGAAAGTTTACATCTATATAATAAAGGATTTGAAGACCAAAACTTAAAAACATTTAAAATTTAATTAAGGCACTATAAAAAAAAATACAACCACCTACTAACATCTACTGACATCTTATAAATGAATAAAGCCTATTTATGGGTGAAATGCGTTTTGTGCTCAGTACAAAACACGGGGGTCGAACGACATCTTCTGTTGTCCTAGATCTTTTTCTATGTACTGATGAATTGCGTAATCAAACAAATGGGTGGAGCTGTACCTTAAACAAAAACAATAAGCTTTAAAGATAAATTTTGTGATAAACTTTTATGGAAGTATATATGCATGATTGTAAAAATAAAAAAAGTATTTCCAACCTCCTTAAATCAAAAATAAATCATCACATTAAACATATCAGTATTATTGTACACAAAAAATGTTTGTCTCTAGAGGGCTCATAAGGGCAAACCATGTTTTTTTGGGGGGAGCTTAATGTAAAAATTATAACCTTTATTCCATGATATTAATTTAAAGGGGCATATACACAGTTCAGCTAAAAAAATTTCAGATTTATTTTTCCATTTTTATAAATATTTAACTAAGGTCTTTCTAATGATCATCAAAAATTTGAACTTCAGTTGTTGAGATACAAGAGAGATTTAGAGTTTGAAACCTAAAGAGTTCGTGTCATGTTTTGTTTACATACTTACATATGTTCATTCAAACCAAATAAGTTCAATAAAGAAGTTAATTCTAAATACAATTAGACAGTTTCTAGTAATTTGTTGAATTTCATTTTGTTATAATGTGAGATATTCTCTATGTAAACAAAAACAAGGCACGAGCCTTGTTTACAATCTAAAGAACTTGAAGTTCTGTATCTCGTTTGTTAATCAATAAAGGATGTTCAAATTTTTGCTGATCATTAGATGATGACTTAGTTAGGAATTGTAAGCATTAAAATTGGTTTAAAAAATTCAGTTGAAACTGTGTCCATGTCCCTTTAAAAGTGCCAGGGATAGTCCATTTCTCTTTGTTATAAACATAATTCGTTATATCCGTAAGCTTCACAAAATATTTCAAAGCTATGGAGAATAAAATTTCAAATTCACTATAAGCGTCAATTCATTATAGCGTATTCGCTTTTATCGTGTTTTATGGTAATTTTGAATAATATGCTGACTAGTGTAAAAACTTCGCAATAAATCTAAATAGGCCAATATCTATTAATGCAGTGACTTAAATCTCAATATTTTCTTTCAAAGCAAACAATAACCATGATAATTGTATTTAATAGTGCAATAAAATAGCAGTATACATTATTTTTCTTTGATATAGTTGACGTCCTTTCGTAAAAGTGCAAAATTTTAATTTGAACCAATCTGATTAAACTACAACTGTCTACGTTCTGTGCTATGCAGAGATTTGTATTTTAATCAGATTGAATTCGAACAATCATCATTATGGTTTATCTTTGTAATTTCTTATTTTTTGCAGAAACATAACAAATGGCCTGTGGACCAGAAAGAAATATGTTTTCTGGTGTGTGTTTGTAAAATTCAAACTGTTCAATTAATTTACCTCTTATAGACCTTTAATGCTGTCATTGACAGTAAGGTCGCGCCCCCAGCTACCGCAATAACGCTGAACACGCCCACTAGGGCCACCTTCCATGAACTGATTACGCAGGATGGGGTACCATCGGTTACCTCACAATTACTTAACACATTGCAGTCAAATTGGTCACATTGACCTAATTAAAAAAGATACATTACCATTTTAAATCAACTAAATTAATTTATTTTCATTCTGTGATTAAGTCAAATTTTTAGCTCACCTGAGCGCAATGCTCAATGAGCTTTTTTCTGATCACATTTTGTCTGGCGTTCGTCTGTCTGTCTGCCCGTCTGTAAACTTTTCATATTTTCAATTTCTTCTCAAGAACCACTGGACCAATTCTAACCATGCTTGCCATCAAGTATCCTTGGGTGAAGGAGATTCAAGTTTGTTCAAATGAAGGACCAGACCCCAGTCCGAGCGGAGATAATTACAAATTAGTGAAAAATTAATGGGCCAGGAAAGATAAAACTTGTGTGGATAGATCCTCAGGTAGTGTACATTCAAGTTTGTTTGAATCATGTGCTCCCTGGGGGTAGGGCAGGGCCACAATTGGCAATCAAAGTTTTACATCGTCCTCTGATAGTTTAGATATATATTTGTTAAAATTATGACCCCCAGGGGGCTTAAATGGGATCACAATAAAATTAAAAAAAATTATGGGGAAAAACCACAGTTAAATAGTAAAAAAATAACTATATGCGTTCTTCTTGCTAGTGCCACAAGTGGTCCTCCGACCGACCTTTCTTCAGAATTATATGTTACATCTTCCCATTAAATGTTTGATAAAGATTTCTTCAGAATATCTCCTGAAAAAGCTTTTAAAAATCGGCAAAATCCTCCGTACATGTTTTAATAGAGAGAGAAGTCATTTCAAACTGACATAAAAAGTCATAAACAAAGAAAAAATTTGTCAACTGCCCCCAGTGGGATTCGAACCTCCGACAGTGGGACAAATTTTGGATCGATCATATCTTTGCAACAAATGCATTCATGACAATAATGAAAACATATTTAGAAGTCTTTAAAGAAAGTCTATCAACCCTGAAAATACTGAAGAAAAATATCTAAAAACAAAAATGTTGAAAAATTTGAGACAATTTCAATGAAACTTACCACAAAGTATTCTTAGGTGAAGGGAATTCAATTCTTCTTCAAATGAAGGGCCACGCCATCTTCCAAGGGGAGATAATTATGAATTAGTGAAAAATTATTAACATCTTTTAAAAATCTTCTTCCCAAGGACCACTGGGCCAGGAAAGACTCATGTGGAAGCATCCTCAGGTAGTGTGAGTTCAAGTTTGTTCAAACCATGACCCCCGGGGATAGCGCGGGCCACAACGTAATATCAAATTTTATACGGGAATACATAGGAAAAGTCGTTTAAAAATCTTCTTCTCAAGAACCACTGAGCCAGGAAAGATAAAACTTACCTGGAAGCATCCTAAGGTAATGTAGAATCAAGACTAGTTTGTTCAAATCATGACCCGGGGATAGGGCGGGGCCACAATGGAAAATCAAAGTTTGACATAGGAATATATACTGTTGATTCCTTATTTTTCGCGAGTACTTTTTATCGCATACTGGCTCTTTAACGTCAAATCGCGAGAATAAAAATTCGCGAATTGGCAGTTGATAATAGAATTTAAATAGATTTCAGCAATCTAAAAATAACGAGTAATAATATTTAGCGAGTGATGCTTCTCGCGAAATTACGCGGAAATTAATTCCTCGCGTATAATTAGGAATCTCCAGTAGGAAAAATCTTTTTTTTTAAATTCTCAAGCATAACTGGGCTAGGAAAGATAAAACTTATGTGGAAGCATCCTCAGGTACTTTAGAATCAAGTTTGTTCAAATCATGACCCCCTGGGATAGGTTGGGGCCACTATGTAAATCAAAGTTTTACGAAAAATCTTTAAAAATCTTCTTTTGGAGTACAACAAAGTCATAATTGGTCATATTTAAATGGAAGTTTCGTCAGGTAGTTTAGAATCAAGTTTGTTCAAATCATGACGGGGATCGGGAGTTAGGGTTGGACCACAATAAACGATCTAAGTTTTTTTTTATCGTAATGGAAAGGCCATACTTTAGTTATATTGATATGGAAGCATCGTTAGGTTATATAGATTCACATTTGTTCAAGTTATGATTCCAGGGGTAGGGAGGGGCCATAATGGGGATGAGATTTTTACAAAGTAGAATATTGGGAATTTTTTTTTTCAAGAACAGTAAAGCCATTGTTAGTGATATGAAAGTATTCTCAAATAGTTAGAATTCAAGCCTTACTTTTAATATTTAATTGATTTGTGCCTTTTTTCTAGCCAATATGCTCAGGTGAGCGATATGGCCCATGGGCCTCTTGTTGTTTTTATCTTATAATGTAAACCCAGGCTGTTGTTGAAAAAAATTCGTTTAAGAATGTAAATTTATCTTTTTTGTATGTAATTGTTTGCTATCAGTCTTTTGATTTACTATCTGAAAACATCAAGAGCAATAATCCTTACATCGCAATTGACAAAACTATGAAAAATGGAATCCATGTTTACTGTTAAAAAATGATGGAAACAGAGTAGTTAAATTTTGTAAATAGAATCCTCTAAAAATGATTTTAAAAATTGGTTAGATGTTATATAACCTGGAATCATTTTAGAAATGTGTTTTACCGACCTTGTTCCACTGTTGTGACTCGAAGGTAGAGTCGCCCAGTTTCCTGTTGACCGTTGATAGAGTTTCCCACACAACGGTAGTACCCTGTATCTGCTGACGTCACACTTCTTATGATTAAAGATGGAGAGCTTACCGTAGGTGTATTGTATTTGACTGAGTTGGTCGTGTCTATAATTGTAGTTGTGCCAGTGCTTTGTTCATATTGCCACTGAATAGAAGTCAAAGTTGCTCCGTAAAATACGCACGTTAATGTTACAGTTGAGTCTTCTGTTGAAGTCACACTTGAACCAGATACAACCCAAAAGGCTGTGACCATTGAGTCTGAGATATAAATAAAATATACATTTCACTTAGCTGTTAATATTATTATAATAGAGGTTAACCAGATGACAGTGTACATCTATGTGTAGCTAGGTACCCCTAGTTGCGATTTGTGTAATCAGTTTAGCAAACCGCGTAATTCAACATGTTGTACACAACGTGTAGTTTCATAAATACAAGGAGGTAAGAATGTGTAGGTTCTAAACCTTAAATTATAATATATATATATTTTTCAGGCGGTGATTGTTATGATATTGAAACTTTATTTATATTTTTAATCAAAGTCATGGAGTTATTTGGGTCATTCGCAAAAAATGTCCAGATTTCAGTGATACAAGTTTTCTGGTAAATATTTTAATAAAATAAAAACTTTTTTGTGCTCATGAACTTAACAATGATCTAAAATTAAGAGAACAGATTTAAAGTACGATCAAAAATTGATATAAATACTGAAAAAAATCCTTCAACATGAGTTAAATTAAAGAAAATTGCTTGTGATTTCGCCGAGGGTATATTTTCAACCCTCCTTATTGAGACAGTAAATATAATTTGGGAGTATAAAATACCTTTAATGTATTGTTTATCCTTAACATTGTTTAAAAACATGCTAAAAGGTGACTGAAAAAAGTAAGAATTATAATTTTTTTAAACAATAAACGTTAAAAAAAACTGTGATTTTCGCCGTGTCCTTGGAGTAACCAAGACATAAAAGTTATCTGTAACAGTTATTTTTCTTGAAGGAACTCTTGAGCATCAGCCGCCTTCTAAAGATATTGTACCCGCCAAAATATAAAAAGACACAGAACATGTGCGTTTCACCCCGTAGACACAATATTTGGTTTCAGTTGAGTTTGGTTGAGAGAGTAATTTATTTTTAGGTCCTTGGAGTTACTTAAATAATGTGAAGATAATTAATATATAATGTTTGTGATCCATTGAGCGACTTTGAAGTGAAATACACATGATGTAGGAGCTGTGCTCTATCTTTTTAATGCAGTCATTGCTTTTATACTTGTAACTTTTGATGTAGTAATTCCCTGGCGTTACTGTCCATTTTGTTAATGTAGGAAAAGTTACTCCAAGGACATATTTAGTTACTCTATGGACAATCTGTACAGAAACTTCAATATTTACAATTTAAAGATAAAATATAATGTGTAAAGTTTATCGAAAATAGTTTATCAATAATATTTGTATCATCTGATCATATGTTTTACATATAATATTTTATACATGCCACAAATTAATTCAATAAACGATACGCGTAACACAAAGGACAAATTTGGTAACTCTGTGGACGTCAAAATGATGAAACATTTTCATTATTAATATACTCTTGTAGTTATTCTTGCTTCAGCGGTAGAGTAGAGAGAATTATTTATTTTGAGTAAATTGAAATATCAAAATTTCTTATGAAATACATCTTTACCCCTTTTTAACCCTATAATACTTAACTATGGTAACATTATAGACAAATTCAGTTGCACAAGGGACATGACAAGCATTTAAGATAGAAAAATGAAATAAAAATACCACGTATGAAGTTGTAATTGTGTTCAGTGTATAAAACAAAACAATTGTGGGGAGGTGGTACAATTTGACTTACATTAAACATAATGAAGTCCTTAAAAATGAGATGGTTAAAGTGGTAACTCCAGGGAAGTATAGAAACACAAGGGAATAAAATAAAAATCCAGGATTTTATGATATATGACATTTTTTACTCTGAAACCTGTTGATTTCATGTTATGTTCTCTCGATGAAGATATTGAAAGGACGAAACAGATCAAAAGTTGCAAAAAAGAGACAGACAGACAAGCGAAAGATCAAAGGAATCCAGACACCTTCAAAGTAACGTCAGATATAGAACATTTTACTATTCTAGCATGGAATGAGTATGTCCGACGATGAAATAGTTACGAATTTTTCATCACTATCAAAAGCGATATCAAAAGATTATATTTCAGAGGAACAATGCATCTGTCACCAATGATGAATTTTTGTTTGAATGTAGATGAAGATACTCTTCATGCAGATTTGTCTAATTGATTTTCCTCGTAAAGTTTGGAAATTGTTTGCAAACCTTACACTATTGAAGTATATTAAAACTTTTGGAATGAAGTCAGAGCGCTGAAGTAAGAGTTGACATTATAGTAGAGGCAGTACTTAACATGGATCTCTATCTTTCCCGGCATATCTTGAAATTTATTTCAAACAACAAATAGGCATTAGGCAAAGGTATATTCTTTATGCAGCTGATCAACACTTAACTTAAAATCAAATAATTTATAAAAAAGGAAGGGCAGACAAAAGAGTACATATGAAGAAAAAACAGAGCAACCAGAGTTCCTGGGAAAAAAAATTGAATAAAAATACTGAAAACACTGAGACCCTGGAAAAGAAACCAGATAAAATTGCTGAAACACTGGAAAAGAGACAATCAGAACTTCATGTATGATCAAAGCAGTAATGAAAATAAAAAAAACTAAATTTGACCAAAAACTGTAGAAGATGAATATTACAACATTGGTGATGATTTGGTTATAATTCGTCCTCCACATCCTGTAGGTAGGAAGTATTAAATAGATAACCTAGTGTGGAAGGAGGCTGTATGTAAAACAAAACAAATAAAATGAGATGTCCTTTGTGTTCTCTTTTGTCTTTGGTGTTACAACTTCTTTTTGGACATACAAATACTTGTACATGCACCGATCAATGATTCTAGGTCCTATGATAGTAATCCTGCATTTTCATACACAACTTATTTTTATTTGTTGTTGATGTTCATGTATCTTTACAATTGGACAATTATGTCTATGTTGTTACTTTTTAATCATTGGTGTTACTAGTTGGACTCCAAATGTAAAAAGAAATGAAATCCCAAGCAATTTTTTTTCTTAAAATCATATACTTTCATTAACATCTATTAGATAATGCCATTGTTGTGCTTTTTGCGGGGGAAGGGGAACAAATTTATTATTTATTCTTAAGGTTTGAACAAAACGTCTTTTGTGTGACTTTTATGTCCTTTGTGTTATGAAAATGTCCTTGGTGTTACTCAACTATTTTTTTCTGAATTTATATTCTAAATCTTTCCAAAATTTTATCAAATCTTGCTACACAAGCCTGCTGTCTTCTAATACGAAGTATATTTGCAAAGCCTGTGTTTTATGCTGAGGTAAAATGACATATGCTTAAGGTATATTTGTAAGAATAACCAAATTTTATAATTTCAACAACATTCAACTTCATGTCATCTAAAATTTCTCTCTCAAGAACCCCCAGTTTGTTTTGATAGAATATTTTTCATCAGGATGTTTAGATTATGATTCTAGAGACCTTAAGTTTTCGTTAGTTATTATTTTATTGCGATTTCTAAGTAAGTAACACCAAGGACATTTCTTGGTGGATGCATGTACTTATAGTGGATTTTATAGTAAATGTTGATAGAATTCTTAGTGTTTCAACATTATTTACGCATCACTGATGTTTCATTACTAACAGAAAACTTAAAAGTATTTAGTTCTCAGGATTTTTTTTCTCTGAATTCTGTTGATTGAATCTGGACAAAATTTGAGAATGACCCATTTGATAAAAATGGATTGTAAAGTGACTTCAATTGTTGACATGGCGTTTTACACTTACCGATACACATAAACAGAACACGATGGTAGTTATACGTAGGCCTAAGAAATAAAAGTCCGCATTTTCGCGAATGTTGCAGGATAACCTCCGAGGTCGAGAAATGTTGTTTGAAAGATAAAAGCTTTTATATTTCAAACAACATTTCGAGACCGAAGAGGTTATCCTGCATCATTCACGACAACAAGGACTTTATTTCTATTCTACTAAAATACGGCTGATCGTTTCCTCTATAGAGAAACGAATTAGGTCACCATGTCTCGATAACGCTGTTCCATTTAACACCAGAGGGAAATTTTGTTAACTTACCTGTGTGTGGAAATCAGACGATTTGAGCTTTTGTTGCGTTAAAATAGCCTTTTCGAATTACCAATTTGTTCGTAATATGTGCTGATTAATTTTAAAGAACAGATACAATAACAAAATCATGTTCCTTTTTTACTAAAATCACGTTGTTTAAAAGTATAGGGAGGCCCTTGGAATAGCCCACTTAGCTATAAAAACCGACATTCATCAGCAACTTGATGCAATTTACAGTGTTTATACTGCAAAAGAGGACACATCGATGAGGTCTAAACAAGTATTTCATTCTATAGCCAATGTTCAAGTTTGATACGTTTTTTCTGATCTGATAATTTTTTGATGACGTTCGTGATTTATTGGAGAATAATATCCGCGGTATTCCTTTGAAGTCGGCAATAATCGTGGTAGAATACCCATTAAAACACGCAAGATTTACACGTAGAAGTACACGTTCAAATGCTTTAACTCTAATACAGCCTCTTTGCGTGATCTTGAAAACAAAACGATATTTAATTACTTCTACAAAATCATTATCAAACACTTAATGTGACCTACTGCTGCTAATTATATCCAAGTAAGCCATTGTAGGACTCTGTCCTGTACCGATGGAGTTTATTGCCAGACAGCGATAGTTTCCGACATCTGAGATTTGTACGTTATATATTGTTAACGATGGTCTGGTAGGAGTGGATCCACTATATTTAGTTGTGTTTGTTATATCCACATTTGTTGTGACTCCTGATTTTTGATATTGCCAAAACACTGACAGAACACTTCCGCTGACTGTACAATAGATGATTGCAGGGGAACCGACTGACACTGTCATGCTCTGTCCAACTGCAACGGTTGGTAAACCTGTCGAGAAAAAAATTAAAGAGTAAGCAAAAACCTTTATGTGGAATCATAAAGTGAGTTTGTTGCTATCTGGACTGCATTCGTCAGCATTTAATATGACGTAGATGATTATGAACATCCTAAAGCACATCCTTTTCATGGTTTCAAAAAGTACAAGCATCTTGCAGGGCTGCAATGCTTAAAATTATGTTTAACTTAGCATTGTGGGTTCGATTGGATTTTTTTTTCTGGATATTGGGAACACGGATCCTGGGACTTTGCTTTCCAAAGTATATTTTTGTTTACGAGACTTGTTTACTTTCTTGTTAAAAGATGCAATGTCTTTTAAGCAAAAAACACATTGAGAATGTTAATCAAAATAGAGTTCAATGGAGCAGAATAATGCAAATTGTTATAACCCTTTTAAAATTACTAGTAGTAAACAAAGACTAGATGTTTATTATTTTTTTAAATCAGAAGTCACGTCTTTTTATCCCCAGATCTGAAATGAATCTAATCGAGGTTTTCGTCACACCTATTTATATCATTCATAGGAACACCGCATCCCAATTATTTCTTAAAGGTAGTATTACAGAGAAACTGCCTCATCTTAACCATGAAAATACACACTATCTGAGCACATGGCAGAAACTCAAATCTAACAAAAATTTGTGTCATACTTAATGATACTAATTGATAATAATTTCCTGTTATGAACCCACTCTATTACTAAGGCTTATGAGAATAAGCTAAGTTTATGTTGAAAAGAATACCGTAACTTTAACATCTACCAGGTTAGGTTCTGATAGTTACATTTAATTTGTTCAACGATTCTGATTGGCTAAACTAGTTTCAGTGGCAGAGTGGATTGTAAACAGAAGTCTAACCGCCTCCACCCCACCGCATCTCCATATTTTTTATTTTCATGTAAAATGCTTATAGATGTATATTTTCATTCCCAAATTGGGTAGACTCAGCCTTTGTTTTGGTCTTTAATAATTTTTGACCATATATATAAATTATTAAATTTTAAACCCCCCAAAAATCATGTAACTTGTTTTAATAGCTTATATTCCGGCTCTTGTTACCTAACTATGAAGTGGTTTTCATTTCGGCATGCTGAGAGAAATATCTCACTAAATTCATAGAGAGGCTACACCGAGTTTATAAGCATTGACGATAGATCATCTTCCAGACATTCTCTTCCGGCTCTTGTAGTCTGGAACCAGTCCATCTTTCAATCTACCACACCGGGTTGAGTACTACGTGCTCTTCCGGATCTTGTCGGTCAAACATGACTGGTCTCCTATGCTGTTACACCGAGTTGAGTTTGTCTTGGAAGTTGAACCTCAATCTCAAAGCACACCAGTTTCACCGAGTTGACTGGTACATATATCTGTACCTTTCTTCCGGCTCTTGGGACTGGTTCCGTTGTTTTGAGGATAGGGTTTTTAACTGATCAAAACTATGAGAAGCTGAGTCTGCCCCTTTTTATGCCAAAGTATGTATATGTATTTCAATGTTATTTGATGTTTTTGTATTGGAAGTTATTTGTGGAATGTTTAAATGTTAGACTTAGAATAAATGTGTTTTAACCTACTATTCTATTTTATCTTTTCAACATAAATAGTATGCTTCCAATATAAAATTATTTTATATCAACTGAAATTAAAATGTAGCTCATCTCTAACCTTGAAACAACTTTGAATATTCAACACATCTTTTTCTTTCTGTTTTAAGGCCATTTTAATATAATGGATTGATTAAAATATACTTGAAAACAAAGGTTGTACATGTACGTCTTCCACTCTTTTTGTTCGTTGGGGCATACACTGAAAGTACTAACGATTAAGGTCAAGGATGGTGTACATACCTGGTACTTCGCAGTTTGGATGGGTAATGCCACTTGGACAATGACACAGGTACTCTCCAAATCGGTCCTCACAGGTCCCACCATTCATACAGGGATTCGATAGACAGTCATCAATATCTAAATAAGAAAATAGATGTACCTGTATAGGCGGGAATTTTAACCGACTCAGTTTAATGAATAAATGTGTAAAATTAAAAAAAAAAATCATAAGTTTTTGTAACATTCTTTATATAAACTTGAAAATGTTCAGAACTTCAAATTATTATTCCTCTTGTTTCATTTTACCATCAGCACAAGTTCCACTTGATATGGCGCTTGCTAAAGAAGTCAATAAGTCAAATGACGTTAGATATGTGTAGTCGTTGTGGGTAGAGATGCTTCTCAAAACAGCCGAATTCACGCCTGATCCAACTCCGACACAAAAAACAGTCACGCCGACAGCCTTCAGTTGATCACCTTCGTTTGAAATCGAACTTTGACCGTCTGTGATGAGGACAACTATTTTAGCTGCATCACTTCTGGCACCACTGGAAGATAGGAAAGAGTAATTTCTGGCGAAGTCTAGCGCTTCTCCTATGTCTGTCCCACCGCCGGTAAAATTAATTGCGGAAACTACATTTTGGAGTGATGAATTGGTAAGATATTTGTCTAGTTGAAAAACTTGACTGGGGGTGGAATCAAATGTAACTACACTGAACTGATTGGCGGTGGTTCCTATTTGAAAGTTAGAAATGACTGCATTCACAAAAGACTTCATTTTTTCGAAATTTGCTGCCCCGATGCTTCCAGATTCATCCATTAAGAAAACAATGTCTCCTTTAGAGGTGCACTGACCTGCATTATAGCCGAAAGATAAAGTGACATCAGTGCTTCTCAATATGATTTTAAGACTATTGTAATTAATAAACATTCGATTCGTTTTAAACTGTTGGTCAGGAGTGCAATATATATATTCGAATTATTGCTGATTAAATACAAGTAGATATATATTAAAGAGAATATCGAGGAGTAGAATGTCTCTAATTGACCTCAGTTGCTAAATTAAATAGTAGTGTTTGTCCTGTGAAGGAAAATATCCTCGAGATGTATATTTTAGCTAGGTTTTTTAATAACCACGGAAAACTATAATTCAAGATGTAAAGCCAGATTGAAATACTTTCATTTTTTTTTAATTTTGAAGTATGGGACTATATAGAATTATTGCACAATTTCATCACAACTTGATGCTGCTAAATGAATTTCATCTATCTTAATTTACTGAAAAAAAATATATCAAAAAAAGTTTGATACTATTTGATTTTTAAAAAAAAATCCATGTCTATCAATAAATTACAAACATTTTAGAATAAATTCAGACAAAGGTTTTCATCACCTTACACATATTTTATATACAATGCATACATTTACGAGGGCCGTTCAAAAATTACGCGGACTTGTTGCACAGAAAAAATATTTGACGACATAATCGGGTAAAATGTCACACATAATAAAAAAGAATCTTTACTTATAAGGTCTTCAAAATTTCATAGCAAAATGTTGTAAATTGGTATCAATTTTGAGTGATTTATAAGGACATATCATTGAGTCACGGAGCAGCAAAATTTTCGACGTCACAGGCATTATAAAATAATATGTGATTGAGTTTTCATTTTCTCAACATTTCCCCATAAGTATCTGTACAGTTTGAGTTACCTTTTTTACTCAACATCCAAATATCATTTCTTGTTGAGCTTAAAATCTATTAAACAAGAAAAAATGTTCTTTTTTGATTTAATTAAAACCAAAAACTGCAGGTATTTATGAGATACAGTGTGATATTTGTGTCTCTCAATCGCGTTCTGTACAGTCCGGATAAAGATTTCGTCGATAATCTTCTTCCCGTCCTCCCGTATAGCCTATTAACAGAGGTCTAGCGGTCTCAAATTTCATTTTGCTATTTGTGGATGAATGTCACGAATACCCTTATTTACTACATGTTTTATTATGCATATTTTGGATCTATGTTTGCTATATCTCGAGCATTACACATAATTTAACAAAAGTGTGGTGCGCCGTCAATTCAGTAGACGTCATTTTCACAGTCGTTTTCAAGGGAATCGCATCAGAGAAAAATCACTATATTTCTGTTAGTACTTCAAATATCACGTCAGAAATCTAAATACATAATGATAAAACAATTTAAAGATACATTTCAGAAAATTGTCGAAAAATATCGCGAATTATAGAAAATTAATGAGTTTAATTTTGGATTCCGCATGCTTTTGCTTCAATTTTTTGGTCTTGCTCCGTACCTCTCCGACAGCGATATCAACATACCGATAATTTTCGTAGAATTTTTTAAAAATACAGAAATTTTGCCTAAAATATATTGAAATCTTTAAGATACATATTTCTGTGAAATTTCATAACTATATGACGTCTGTAAAAGTAAATAATAGGACAGTCCGCGTAATTTTTGAACGGCCCTCGTACATAATTCACACATTGCAAATAATAATGTTTTGACGTCTTGAAAATATGAAAAACTTGTCGGAAAAAAATGTAAAATGACAACCAAAAACCATTTTTAAAAACATATATACAAGAGAAGAAACTCAATAAAGTTTTGATCATTTATATCCTATGTTACCATTCTGAAACATAAGGAAATAAAATTTCTCTTGAAAATGTATTTTAGAAAGTCTTTTAGGTTAAAGTTATATTTTCTTTTTTCAGGAAAAGTTTTACTGATAAAAATTTTTAAACTATCATATCCAATGGTATATTTTATTGCCACATACATGTAGGACTGTTAACCAGAGTGCATGTACTTCTTTGTACATGACGATAGAAGTGAAAAATATTTTATGTAGAAAACTCAGTTTGGTGGTCATTATTTTAATTCACCCAAATTCAAGAACAATTTAGAACGGGCGAATTACAATTTGATTATGGTTGAAAATGTCACTAAATATACTGGATATTGTATTACTTCTTATTCTGATCCGATCATATTGTTTCTTGTTTTCTACAAAGGTTTATTGTCATGTATTTGTTGAATGCCGACAAAACTACATAATTATACAAAAAAACTGACACATTGAGTCGGAGTCGAATTACCATAGAATCGCCTAATTTTTGTGGGTTTAAAATTAAGAGGTTTGAAGAGGAGGGGGTTCGTTGGAATTTAATTTCCTAGATTTTATAATTTTTATTATCAATCACTTTATTTCGAGAACTTTTTTTCGCTTAGTTTCGCGAGACCGTCTCGCATATGATATATTCCCTAAGCTTATAAAGAAATGTCAAAAAATCGTAAAAATTATGTCTCGCTACTGAAAAGTCAATGACTATCTCGCGCAAATAAGGTGTCGCGAAAATTTATTGATCTACTAGTACTTATGCAAATGAAATTTATGTTTCCTTCTATGAATATATAGGTCTCTTCATACAATGTACCTCGAAAACAACGCAAGTAAACGAATATTAATAATTTCACATTGATGTTTATGGCAAGTCAAACGTTGCAATATTCGATCATTTCCATCTGTATTGTAAAATTTTCCATTTGTATTGTATATTTCTTATTTGTATTCTATAATTTTTCCATTTCTATTGTATAATTTTTCATTTGCATTGTATAATTTTTATTTGCATTGTATAATTTTCCATTTGTATTCTATAATTTTCCATTTGTATTATATAATTTTTCATTTGTATTATATTTGCCATTTGCATTGTATAATTTTTCATTTGCATTATTTGTACATTTTTCATTTATATTGTAAAAAAAATCATTTGTATTGTATAATTTTTTATTTGTATTCTATATTTTCCATTTGTATTGTATAATTTTTCATTAGCATTGTATCATAGGGATTGTTTATTTTGGTTTGTTGCGAAGGATTTCATTGGTTTAATTTAATCATATATTAGTCTTTCCCATGATCCCTTGCACTTCGTTATTGTCCCATGATCCCTTGCACTATCGGGTAGTCTTGTCCCATGATCACTTGCACATCGTTCTGTCCCATGACCCCTTGCACTTGCTATTGTCCCATGATCCCTTGCTCTTCGTTAAATATTGTCCCATGATCCCTTGCACTTCGTTAAATATTGTCCCATGATCCCTTGGGGACCCCGATAACGAAGTGCAGGGGTAATGGGACAAGACTCATAATGGATAAAACGCGTGTAAATTTCTAGTCTCGTTCAACCAGACGCTCGGTTGTCTCCGTAAATCTCCGACCAGCAGAAAGCTGGTCAGAGATTTACGGATTCAGCCGAGCGTCTGGTTGAACGAGACAAGTGAACTTCGCGGAACATTTCGGATATTATAAATCCGATATATGATTAGATTAAACCAATGAAATCCTTCATAACAAACCAAAATATACAATCACTCGGATACAATGCAAATGAAAAATTATACAATACAAATGGAAAAGATAGAATACAAATAAAAAAAATTATACAATACAAATGATTTTTTAACAATATAAATGAAAAATCATACCATGCAAATGAAAAATTATACAATGCAAATGGAAAATGTAGAATACAAATAAAAAATTATACAATACAAATGATTTTTTTTACAATATAAATGAAAAGTATAAAATGCAAATGAAAAATTATACAATGCAAATGGCAAATATGTAATGCAGAAGAAATAGTATACAATACAAATGGAAAATTACGAGGGGCATTTCAAAAGTTCTGGCAACTGTTTAATAAAAAATTAACCGTTTTACGGAAATTATTGAGTTTGATATCATCGGGAAGATCAGAAAAATATACACATATTGTGACGTCACTTTATTATTTTTATGACGTAATAACTCCGAAAATGACGTCAGAATATAGAATGTTTAGCATACTGACCATAAAAATGACGTAACAAAAGACACAATTTGATCAAATTAAAATTTTCAAGACAACTTTTGCTCATTACTCGGTTGCAAGTGAACGGACGCAAATGCCAGTTGGTGCAGTGTTTACATAGACTACAATCTATCACATGGCATTTTATTTTGAAGATCTTCTTGTTCTGAGATGGTTTTATCGAGTGTCAAAATTAGCATGGTTTTATCGAATCTCGCTCAAACTTTTGCGTAAAAGAGACCTAAATGTGAGAAAAAGACAAAGTTGACAATCAAAGAAAAATAGGCTTTCGTGTTACAAAGTTCGATGGTATTAATTCGTCAGGTGTTTTAACCAGATTTGTGGGATCGATGAAGGCTCAACAGAAGTTAAGTTTATTGTGCCCAATATTTTCTCGTAAAATCCAAAATGGCGGCGGCGCAGTTTTAACCCCATCGTACCTCCACATATTCGCAAATTTTAATGCATGGAAAATAAATAAGACTTTACATGTATGAGTAACTTATATTCATTTTTTGGATTCAAAAGTCAAAAGCAGTAGTGAGTTTTGGGGCGCCGAAGTTGAATTTATATAAAAAAATTGGCACAGAATCCAGTCGGGGACAAGATTTAGTACATTTTATTCGTAAACGGTAAGAGTCCTGTTACTCAAAATATATTTGATGAAAACTGCATTAATATACTTCAGTTTAATACAGATCATGTTTTATTTCAAACAATGGAGAGCTATATAAAAGACCGAAAAGCCAGCCGTATCATGTAAATGAAAATCTTAAATGAATGTCTATGATAGCATAACCGAATATAAACCGCGCTCGTAAACAAACAATACAATGAATAATGGAATTGCTGATAAACAGTATCATAGTCCTACTCTACCTCTTTTCAGATTAAAATTTTCTTTGAAATATTTTTTCAAATAAGCCTTTGACAGAACTTTTACGATCGTCTCATGTGGATAAAAACGCGACTTTTCAGTATGCTAAACATTCTATATTCTGACGTCATTTTCGGAGCTATTACGTCATATAAATTATGAAGTGACGTCACAATATGTGTATATTTTTCTCATCTTTCCAATGATGTAAAACTCAATAATTTCCGTAAAACGGTTAATCTTTTATTAAACAGTTGCCAGAACTTTTGAAATGCCCCTCGTATAGAATACAAATGGAAAATTATACAATGCAAAATTATACAATACAAATGAAAAATTTTACAATACAAATGGAAAATTATAGAATACAAATAAAAATTATACAATACAAATGGAAAATTTTACAATACAAATGGAAAAGATCGAATATTGCAACGTTTAACTTGCCATAGATGTTACTGTATTCATAAATGAATTTGAAAAAAAGTAGGGGTATCTCTGGCATAAATAGAGTCCGAACCGATGTTTGAGACGCGATGTACGTACAAACTCCACGAGAAATATCGCGACTCCAGCACTTAAGATATATGAATATTTTAAACTGTTTAACAAATTAGCTTTACTACAATTCAAAAAATTAACACCCCCCCCCCCCCGCCCCGCATGTTACCTCATCCTATCGCAACGTGTTCTTCATTTGAATAAATAGATCTACTCGTAAAGGTAAACACAGCTAGATATAGGATGCCTGCATGTTTATTAACATAGCAATGTTGCATATCGGCTTATTTTAAAAGGTTGCATATTGCCATAATCATCTTGCATATCCAGAACCAGAAGTCTCTGGCGAGACTGTAGCTCTTAGACCACTGGTTTATACTTATAACAAAGGTTGAGAGAAGTAGCATTTGAACTTGAAACTTTGCAACAGCAATAGATTAAACATTGATCATTGGTTTTAAAGCCATTTTCTTGGCAAAGATTTATCAAAATCAGATCAAAACTGTAGGAGGAGTAGCATTTTAAAGATATTTCTAAGAAATATTTATTTTAAGTAACCATGGCAACACCGTTCATCGAAATCTAAAATCGATATGAAGATTTATTTATCTTAGTGTACTAGTATTCTACTTGTTCAAAGTTATATTGAAATCAGATCTAAACTGTAGTAGGAATAGCATTTGAAAAATATTTCACGAGACTACTTGTGTGCCAAGTTATATTGAAATCAGACCAAAACTGTAGGAGGAGTATCATTTTGAAAATATTTCAAAGATTTTCAGTAACCATGGCAATACCGTTCATCGAAATTAAAAACCAATAAACATTAAATAGAATTATGTATCTTAGTGAAGTCTAATTATGTGCCAAGTTTTATTGAAATCAGATAAAAACTTTAGGAGGAGTAGCATTTTGAAAATATTTAACAGAAATTTCTCTTTTTAGTAATCACGGCAACACCGTTCATCGAAATTAAAAACCTATTATCAAAATTACGTATCTTAGTGTAGTCTACTTGTGTTCCAAGTTATAATGAAATCAGACCAAAACTGTAGGAGGAGTACCGTTTTGAAAAATTGTCTACAGACAGACAGACGTCGGACGCCTTATCATCATATTAAGCTCCTCTGGTCTATGACCAGAAGAGCTTGAAATTACTTGCATATCACACAAAAAAAAACTATCAATGTAAAATCATGCTCCACATAATCACATTTTATGAAGAAACAATACCAATTATACGAATATTCACTTGTTCTATTACATGTATTAGTCAGTAAGATATAATGAAATATGAATTCATTTTGATAAAAAAAAAAATAAAATAATCACAACAAAATAAATACTTAAAATATCTGGCATAAGTGTGAACATCCACAACAGCGAAAGTAATTTCATTCTTCCAGAGACTGCACTAAAACTGTTGTATTCTGAAGTCTAATACAATGTCGATGAGATACACATGTACACAAATGTGATAATAAATTAACTAGACGGGTTTGTAGTATATAAGATATTGTACGTTTAAACACGTCCTTGAGATCTTAACAGTGATCAAACTAGAAAGTTCTTTTCCCCCAAATCGATTTTCTCTGCGAGTTGCATGGTCAAATATTGCAATAGAACATTTTGCAATTCATTTCTGATTATTATTCAAAGCACGTTATCGAGCGATAAACTAAGGAGTTAGTTTTCTTTCCTTTGTTTTTTTTTTAGTGGCTCCTATGCAAGACGTGTGCAGGGCAGTTATTTTTGCTGAATAGGAAATGTACGGTGAAGAATCATGTTGGCCATTTACAAAACACTGAAGTAATCTGAGAGTATAATATCCTTGAGGAACCTGATAAAACATGACAAAATAGTTTTGGGTCTCTTGATGTGGCATTGCAACCTGCAAAAAAAAAGATATTTTTTTTTCAATACTACAAAATAAGGCACACTCGTTTGAAGTCCATTTAAAAAAAATAATCTATCAAATGATTGTAAGATACCGGAGAATTCCAATCATGCTAATTTTATTTTTATTCCAACTAACTGGTTTTTGAAAATGATAGACATTGTTCAAAACCTTCAGAAATACTACATGAAGTACGAAAACTTATTCAAAATGACAAAAAAATATACATGTATATGTACTTATTTACTATGTAAATTGCCAGATGAAAATCCATTCAACTATTTATGAAGATGCATGTTATTTGGGTGTTCATGAACTTTGGATAATCTGATAAAACTATAGACAGATTGCTTATATGGTCTTATGACACTGCATACACTGCAAAAAAAAATCTTCAATTTAGAGACGAAGTTTGTAGATCGAAAAGTTTGAATTCCATTTAAATTTTTCTCTGTCAAGGTGTTGTCTATGGGGCGCCGTTTTGGTATTTAACTGCCTAAAAGTGATATCACCTATTCGAATAGGTGACATCACCTATTCAGTTGGTGATATCACCTATTCGAATAAGTGATATCACTTATTCAGATTTTGAATAGGTGATATCGCCTATTCGAATAGATTATATCACCTATTCAAATAGGTGATATCACCTATTTGATTTGAATTGGTGATATCACCTATTCGAAAAGGTGATATCACTTATTCAAATAGGTGATATCATTTTTTGCCAGTAAATACCAAAACGGTGCCTCATAGTTGTCGGATACCTGAGATGTTTTTTATTCAACAAGACTGTTACATGAAAATAAAAGGCATTGTTCATAGTTTTACAAAATATTGCATATACATCATGAAAACTTATAACTTAAATTGCTATAGACGTATACTGTATACAAATACAGTTCAAAACAGGAAGAAGAAAAGCCATTATAAACTCAATATCTTGCAGCATTACCCTCTAAACAAGATGTGTTTGTGAAACACTGATGCCCCCGTATGGCAACATAGCGAAGTCTAAGTTAAGCTATCTCGAATGCAGATCAAATATGTTGGTACCTAAAGTAAGGCCTTTTCACAAGAAATACAAATGTGAAATGTAACACTCTAGCACCACCTGTCCAAAGGTTAGGAAAAACTCCAGGGCCAAGGTCAAAGGGTCAAGGTTGTTGGTTTCTAAAGAAAGGCCTTGTCTCAATTACATATGGGAAGTATGGAAGCGCTGGCTCTTACCGTTCCAAAGTTATGGCCAAGGTTTAAAATTGTAAAAAGTAGGTCAAACTCCAAGGTCAAGGTCAAAGGGTCAAGGTTCTTGATATCCATTGAAAAGGATTTGTCACAAAGATTACATATGTGAAGTATGTGAAGCTCTATTACTTACTGTTCAAAACTTATGGCCAAGGTTAAAGTTTGTAAAAAGTAGGTCAAATTGAAAGGTCAAGGTCAAAGGGTCAAAGTTGTTTATATCCAATGAAAGGTCTTCTCACAAAGATTACATATATCAAGTATGAAAACCGTAGCCCTTACTGTTCAAAAGTTATGGCCAAGGTTTAGTATGGAAATCTCCAATGTAAAGGTCAAAAGGTCAAAATTGTTGGTTTCAAATGAAAGGTCTTGCCACAAAGAATTGGTATTTGAAATATGAAATTCCTTGTATCTACCGTTTAAAAATTAGGGCCAAAGTTAAAGTTAGGATTTTTTGTGTTAAAATGGGTCAATCTCCAAGGTAAAGGTCAAAGGGTCAACATTTTTTTTTATATCAAACGAAAGGTCTTGTCACAAGGATTAAATATATGAAGTATGAAAGCCCTAATCTTATCCCTTCATAAATTATGGTCAAGGTTGTATTTTAAAAATAGGTCAAATTCCAAGGTCAAGGCCAAAGGGTCAAATTTCTTGGTATTTAATGAAGGGTCTGCTCACAAGAATTACATATTTGAAGTATGAAAGCTCTAGCCCTTACCGTTCAAAAGTTATGGCCAAGGTTAAAGTTTTTTCACAAGTACAGAAATCTCCAAGGTCAAGGTCAAAAGGTCAAGTTTGTTGGTATCCAATGAAAGATCTTTCTACAAAAAATACATATGCGAAGTATAAATATCCTGGTTCCTACTGTTCAAAAGATATGGCCAAAGTAAAAGTTTGGAATTTATGTGTAAAAGTGGGTCAAACTCCAAGGTCGAGGTCAAAAGGTCAAATTTTGTGGTATCCAAAGAAAGGTCTTGTCACTAGAAATGCACATGTGAAATTTGAAAGTCATAGCTCCACTAAATCAAAAGGTATGGACAAGGTTAAAGTTTTTGTGGACAGACAGAGAGACAGACACTTGTCAGACAGATGGACGGACACGACAAAAACTATATACCCTTGAAACTTCGTTTACGGGGGCATAAAAAAGAGGTATTGGTAGTATAGATAACATCTACAAATCTACTTTTTGACATTTTTCAACATTAGCATGATTAACATTCACGCTTGAAAAAATTGAAGTAAATTATTGTGGTCAAAAGGGGTTCAAGTTAAAATCTATCAAAATTATTCATTGAAAACAAAACATTTCAGGTCTATTGTTAAATCAGACTCCAGTCTCATTGTAGGCCTAATCAAAACGACTCAACATAGGGACCAGCTTGAAAAAAATACGACTAAGACCAAAAACTTCAGTCGATAGTTAAAGAAGTGTTAGCGTTGTTCTCCCGCCTTCATGTGTACCTCCAAGTCAATTTTGAAAAGTAAACATATTCGAATTATTATTATTTTTTAAAATTTCATATAGATTTTTAATATAAATAGATTTTCATAAAACATCTGGGAAAATAAAGAGGGATAAAAATTTCTTTCAAAAGATATTATGGACTTTCATTTTACAAATTCTTACCATTAAAGCTTTTTGAGTAAAATTTCATAGGTACGTAGGGGTATCATTATAAAGAACAAAGGACAAAAATGCAGCTAAATCATTTCATTTTTCTATTTACATGCACATGTTTAAATATGCGTAAATCATAAGAAAAAAAATAAGTAACATTTATTCATGAATATCCAAGACTATTTCAAAATATGGGGATGCTCTTCGAGCCGATAACTGAGTCCGATTTCAATGGAAAATGTGTCGCCTTGTAGGCGCAGTGGTTAGAGCGTCTGCTCTAGAGTCGCAAAGTAAGAAGTCGGTCCTTACATTGCGGGTTCGAATTCCACTATGGGACGTGGAGACCGGTCCTTCGGATGAGACCGTATAAACCAAGGTCCTGTGTCGCAGTAGGTGCTGGGAAAAAGATCCCTCACTGCTCAATGGCCCTAAGTGCAGAGTATAGGACAAAATTTGTACATGTAGCAAGTATATATGAGTGAAAAATTCTCGAGATGGACATTAAACAGCATGTAATCAATCAATCAATGGAATATATATCGTCTCTCCCCTTATTTCAAGAACTGGAATTCGGGATAATTCATTATGTCGATCAATGCATGATTGACTGAACTGTTCTTTGTAGTAAAACAAAAAAAAAATTTGTGGGGGGGGGATGCCATTAATATTGAAGTGCACATGGGTGTAAATGTAGGCGTAGTAAAACAAAAAAAAAATTTGTGGGGGGGGGATGCCATTAATATTGAATTGCACATGGGTGTAAATGTAGGCGGGGATCGAAAGTTAGCGTGCGTACTTCTTTTGCACATAGACATAAAGCGCGCTTTATGCCTATGTTTTGCAAAATCGATTGCTCTATTCACGATAAGAGTTATCTCCCTTAATTGAGAGTAAATAACTTATCATTATCATGATTGTGGATATGTTCAGCCATGAACATAATATGAAAATGTATACCATGTAACTTTTATAGGTAACACATCACAGGGACATGCAATAAATGTTTAATATTATATGTACCTGGCTCATCCGATCTCTGTTTTGTTTTTTTCTGTAGCAGCGTTTATTAGTGTAACCTTTAGACACGTGACTAAAACAAAACACGGAAGGTAGAAAGGCATCGGCCATCTTTTTTGATCGTACGTTTGGAGCTACTATTAGACAATTTTACGATTTTAAAAAGAAAGTCCTTGTGAAATATAACTAAAGGTACATATTTTGAGTATATTGACAATGTTGTAATATTTTACGGGTGGTTAAACTTTCAAGGTGTCAATAACGAAGGAGAAACTAATTTTTCGAAGAACAGTCGTCTCAAATGCCCACTCGCACTGGTATTTTAATCTATATTTTGTTATTTTTCTTATCTTACGCAACACATCCTGTCAAAATAATCAACAAAATGATTGTGCAGTACCAGACAGACTCAGAACAGGATTAACTGGGATTGAAATTGAGACTGACTACCATGAATGGGAAAATTTCTACTGAAAAATTGAATTTTTTTTTATTTACGTGCAATTCACATTTCTGTGGAAAAATACATTATAATTTTTTATTTATGTCTCTAAGACTCTCAATAGAATAATTATTAGTAGATTAGTAGATTTATTGCCCTTTTTAGTTTTTAATTTCACTTGCATTTACCAAGTATTTCCTTCTTGTTTTGCCCCCCCCCTCCTCTTCTGTTTGATGTGAGTTCAAAAAAAGTTGTTCATGATATAGAATAATTATCTCCTCACAGCAGAGTTGGAGGGGATATATAGTAACATAATTGTGTGTGTTTGTTGACGTGTTATGTCCTATGGGAAACGAAAGTGATGTAA